GAGGGATTCCTATGGCTTAGGATCTAAGTATAGATAAACTCTACTTTCACTTGTTTACTTCGGGCACCGGGTTGCAACTAGTCTGGCAGTCAATGCCGGCCTGTAGCTCTACGCCGTACCCGAACGTGGGGGATTACGAAGGACGGACAGGGCTGTCACCACCTACCGCCTACCCCTCAACCGGAGGATATGAGGCAAACGAAGGTAGCCTCTAGCCTAGACACCACATCTACGCTAGCGACTACTACTCTAGCATTGATCAGGGTTATCCATCTTCATCAGGGCCCTCTACTAGAGTATCCACCACGGGGACGGACGATGAACCTGCAAACAAGAAAAAGCATAGCTTAACTAATCAAAAGACTTTTATAACCAAAGGAACCATGAACACTTACTAAAATACCCGTCGAGGTACAAAGCTTGTGTTCATCGAGGTACAAGCGGGGAAGGTTACCAACAAGTCCGGCACTTCTTCCCCCGAACTCTTCTGTCACATCTCTCCCTTCAACTTTTCTATAGCTAGCTAGGGCCTAAGCCCATGAGTGGTGTTGCTCTTCTCTTGCTCTTGTGCTCTTCTCTTCTGTGTTGTTGTTCAAATGAGGAGGAGGGAGCCTCCTTTTATAGGTGGAGAAGAGGGGGGGCATTTGGAAAATGCTTCATCGCCATATGGAAGGTACCAAACCAACCTCCAAGTATAGTGAACCTAGGTGACACCACCATACCGACATTGGACAAGGCGGTAAGCAGCAACCGACCAAGTCTCGGGCCAAACGGTTCGTTGGACTGCCTCCTGTGTTCTCCTAGACATGGCCCATGGTGATGTCCTGTGAAGATAAGGTGGTTTGGTTGGGATTTGGCCTTGTTCTCCATTCCTTCGGGCCCTGAGTCTGCTGGTAAATGGGACATCTCCCCTTGGGCTCGTGTTGGATGTCTATAATGTTGCATTTCTTCTATACTTTAGGCTATTTTCCTATATAATCCCGACATGTCCTCCAGCAAATGAACAATCACCAAAACTTGTGGAATTGATTAGTTATAAGCCCTAATTCTAAGTTTGGTGACCATTTGTGCAGATTTTATGTGAGAATTGGCAGTTAAAAATAGGAGTTAAGGACCGCCAACACTCAAGAGCTGTTGGACAGGTATTGACGAAGGCTAAACACTTAGTGAGAACCGCTGACTGACGAAGGCTGAGTTTCCTAGGGACTACTAACTAATGTATTTTGGGATGGTGGAAACGTGTATACAACAAGACAAATATGTTCTATGGGAGGGGTAGGTTGGGAGGGTAAGACATACTCACAGTGGTGGTGACCGGAATGTTAGTAACAAGAAAGAAATTCAATAAAAAGTGTTTTGAGTTAGGCTATTAAAGCCAAGCATGTATAGCCATTCAGACCATGCTTTTTATGCGGTGAAGGCCGTGACAACTTTCTTGGTCACATTGGTGACAAGTTGTATATGCGAAGGTTAAATTTTGAAATTTCCCATGAGGGGCAATGGTTAGTTTTTGAAACTTGCCATGAGAGGTGAAGGTCAAATCAAGAATGTGACAAAATAAATCACAAGAGCAAAATCATTAGGCATTATAAGCTGGTGAGACTTTAAAACTGGTGAGAAATACTCACTGTGTAGGTTCAGTTGTCATCGGGTGTGTGGCTTTCGGGGGCATTTGGATTTAAACCTCGATGCCTGAGAACCGCCCAGGTCCTCTCCGAGTTCAGGCGCTTTGTGCCATGGAGGTCGTTCCGTACCCGTGAGCCTTCGGCTTTGGGTGACGGAGGGTCCTCTTTCCAATGAAAAAGTTGTGGTCGAATGTCGTGGCTCCATTACTTGCCACTTTCGACTTAGGTTTTGAAATATTTCTCAAGGGGGTATTTCCTCTTGGTTTAGTGGCATGTTCCTCGGGCTCCAGAAACACCCAAGAGAAACATTAAACTGACAGGTCATTAGAACACACAAGAAAGAAGAGACAAGAATCGTGAGCCACGAAAAGAGTTAGCAAAGATATCAAAATATCATGTCGGGTTTTCCAAAGGCCCAATACCGAAGCCTTCTTGAAATAATTATCCAATACCATGCTAGCAAAACTAATCAAGGTTGATGAAACTGATCGAAGGCTGAGGCTATGAGAAAATCTCAATTTCCAGCTTTGGCGACGAAGGTTGATGAAACTAATCAAGGTGATGCTCCAAGAAAAATCCCAATATTTGGCTTCATTGACGAAAAGTGAGGAAACGATCGAAGTGTGATGCTCGAGAAAATCCCAAGTTCCGGATTCATTGACGAAAGTGAGAAACCGATCGAAGAAATAATCAATTTTCAGCTTCATTGACGAAGGCTGATGAAACTGATCGAAGGCTGAGGCTATGAGAAAAATCTCAATTTCGGCCAGCTTTGCTGACGATGGCTGATGAACCTGATCAAAGGTAGATGGTCCAAGAAAACAATTTTTGGCTTCACTGACGAAGGCTAATGAAACTGATCGAAGGCTAATGTCCCGAGCTCAGGAAGAAAACCCGAGTATCCGGGCTTCGCAGCTTCTAGCTTCTCAATCCATGGAGTCAGGGCCACGTTCTGAACAACATAGCTGCAATGAAGTAGTTAGCGTAGAGACTTGATATTCTTCAAACTGACTTATCTGACTCATGGTGATGTTTCTGCCACTTGAAGGTTTGCTAACACCTGAAGGTGCGCTGGGTTGTTGAAGGTTGATTGTTCAAGACCCAGCCTTCGCATTTCCGGCCTTGTTTGTGAAAACCTGCACATGTCAAGTACAAAGCCAAAACTGTCAAATCTGTCAACACATAGGCTCCCACGTTGTCTCGGGCTCCGCGCGTCGTTTCCCGGTGCAGAGGCTCTCATGCCATATTGCGGTGCAGAGGCTCCCGCATCGGATGTTGGTGTAGAGGCTCCCGCACCGTCTTGTGGTGCGGAGGCTCCTAGGTCGGCTATTGGTGCAAAGGCTCCCACACCATCTCGTGGGGCGGAGGCCACCATGTCGACTGTTGGTGCCGAGGCTCCACCGCCATCTCGTGGTGCAGAGGCTCCCGCGTCGGCCGCTAGTGCGGTGGCAACCGCATCGGTTGTTGATGAAAAGGCTCCCGCGCTGTCTCGTGGGGCTGAGGCTCCTGCATCGGCTATTGGTGTAGAGGCTCCCGTGCTGGCTGTTGATGCAGAGGCTCCCACGTCAGCTCATGGTGCGAAGGCTCCCGTGTCGACTGTTGGTGCAGAGGCTCCTGCGCTGTCTCGCAGTGCAGAGGCTCCTGTGTTGGCTCGCGATGCAGAGGCCCACAGTGCAAAGGCTCCTGCCTCGTCTCATGGTGTAGAGGCTCCCGCGTTGCCTCGTGATTGATCCCTCCTGCACAAAAGTCACAATACAGGCCTCCGCAAGGCTTTGCTTGGGGGTTATCAAAGGTTTAAACCTTCACTCTTGAAAAATTTATTCATGCCGAGCATGGTGGGCGCCAATGTTGTGAAATGGGGATCCCGACAGAGAGTGAGAGTGAGAGAGGGGCGAGCTCGCTGCAGCTCGACACCTGGGGGCCAAAGGCTCCGCTCTGGTGCGGAGGCCTTCGACTAGCCGAGCACGGGTACAAAAATGGATTTCACGCAACTACCGAGGCAATAATTAGGGTTTCGAATTAGACGCCATCCTCTATTCGGGATGACTGACTTCTCCTTTTATAGGGTACGGTTACATTATCTGTCGAGTATAGAAATGTCTGTAGGGCAACTAAGGCATATTTCGGTATATTCATATATACTGTACTCATGTCTCCGGGGCATTAGAGTCTTTTTCTTTTACAACCGCCTTTGTTGATGGGCCGTTGTTGAGCGTGGGCCTTCAGCCCATTATTCGTCGCACCACGGCCTTCGACTGATCTTCATATTCCCCCGGCTTCTAATTTTGCACCACGGCCTTCGACTGATCTTCACATTCCCTTAGCCTCTGATTTTGCAGCACGGCCTTCGACTAATCTTCATAGTGCCCCGGCCTGTGATTTTGTACCACGGCCTTCGACTGATCTTCATATTTCCCCAGCCTCTGATTTTGCACCATGGCTTTCGACTGATCTCAAGCTACTACATAAATTCTATTGGCAATTCCACCCACCATACAACAATTTGGCAAATAATGAACCATGCATCCAGCGGGAACAATACACGATGCAGCAGTGTTTGGACCTTGATTATATGCACACCAATTTGCCATATTCTTGCACCCAATCAGGTAATTCACAAGATGTTGGTCTAATTTTCATTCACTTGTCAAGTTGTACACAATTTACAAGATGTTGGACTAATTTGCGCCCACCTTCCGCAAGTTTGTGTAGTGTGGCTGCAATTTACTCCTTATGGTCATATATTTAGTGCTGGTTGTTCCTGATGTCAAATAGTGTGGCTATGATACAAACATATAAACGTCCTTCCTTAATTCAATCTTTTCAGTGAGGTAACTTAACATTGAACTATTTCTAGCAAGTTCAATCCTGTAATGATTGTCGTGTTTTCAGAAATTGCAATATCACCACCGATATTGAGTTTTCCTTTTGAAATAAACTATGGCACACCATGTAGGCCGCCTGAATTTTTGTTGTTGATAATAAAAATATAACTGCACAAGAACTGGAAAATCCCTGTCGATCTTTACGGAGAGGACGAGTGCAGGAAACAAAACAAAAAAAAACTGATGAATCTAAGAAACAATCAGGAAAACACCACTAATTAAGCAGAAAATCTCTACGAAGATAAACAAAAGCTTCAAATCTTAAGTTCTTCAGAGTGGGAAAGAAGTTTCTTCATTCCATGGAGTAACAGTTTTGCCTTTTGCTTTGACCAATTGGATTACACTGCACACCTATGCGACCAAAGAAGTTTTCATCTAGATGTCTCAAAGCATAAATTGACTAGTCCACCCTGAACGCCTATAAATGCATGCCCCTGCCTCCCAACTCAACCCAAGCTTCATATAGCTCTTAGTCGCTCACTCATTATCAATGGCGTCCACTACTTGCGTGTCCTCGGTCCTCTTCCTCCTCGCCGCCTTCACTGCCGGTGCAAGCGCAGCCACCTTCACCATAAAGAACAATTGCGGTTACACAGTGTGGCCGGCAGGCATCCCTGTCGGCGGGGGCACGCAGCTGGACCCAGGCCAGACATGGACCGTCAACGTGCCCCCCGGCACCAGCGGCAGGTTCTGGGGCCGCACCGGCTGTTCCTTCAACGGTGGAAGCGGCCACTGCGACAGCGGCGACTGCGCTGGTGCGCTCTCCTGCACGCTCTCCGGACAGCCGCCGGCAACGCTGGCCGAGTACACCATCGGTGGCACTGGCAACCCGCAGGATTACTACGACATCTCGGTTGTTGATGGCTACAACCAGCCAATGGCCTTCTCCTGCAGCACCGGCGTTGGGCTGGTGTGCACGTACCCTAGCTGCCCCGACGCGTACCAGTATCCGACCGATGATACCAAGACCCATTCATGCATCGCCAACAGCAACTACCAGGTGACCTTCTGCCCGTGAAGCGGCAGATGGTGATCACGTCACAGCGCCACGCAACAGACAGTGCATAAGTATTAATGGAAAATGTAGAAGAATAATTTGATAATAAATAATAAGATATATAATAAATCGTCCATGTGTGCATGTATACGGATATTATCACACACATGTGCCGTGTTTGTACTTGCTATGAAGAACCTTCTGAATATATACATGTTTTCGGCAAATACTGATGTGGATATTCTATGTGTGCCATGAGCTTCCTGATTTCTTTTCTTTGATAATTGTTATGTTTGTTCATCAGCTAACTCCCGACATAATATGGCTTAAACTCCATAATAATGGTGTGGGTACTGCCTCGTGCATCCAGGGGGAGTTTAATCTATATTACTTGAGTTCCATGGGTATGATCTACAGTTATTGCTGAAAGTACTAACACTTCAAGTTGTATCTTATACAACTTGAAGTTATACGGATCATGGTCCATACGAGACTCTCCCCAAATGCTCTAATGTTTTCACTCTTGAGAGTCCATTTTCACTGCTAGCTAGATGCCAAAGAGGGAGAATTTATAGACCCAAGTAAGAGCACTCCATGAGCAAAGGAGAAGAATTTGTGCAACAATTTATTCATCTTCATATGGATACAAATCATGGACCAATGCTTCAAGATTAAAAGGTGATCTATGAGTTGGAGGACAAGAGGAAGGAAATAAGGTGTTACATGGTCCAACGCGGTATAAGGTAAAAGGGGATGAGACCAAGCCTACAAATTATGAGGAGATTTAATATCTCTATGCGGCTGAGGTGATCTATGGATCTTGTATTAACTATTTGGATTCATAAATGATCTTAACTACAAACTTTTTTATCTCATCGAGCACTACAACTTTGGTGTAGGGCATCTCTCCAACAAGGTCTTTTGAAAAGTTCAAAATTTTTAATTTAAAAAAATTAAATCATATTTTTAGGACCCTAAATGATTTCAGAATAAAAATTCACCAATTACAAATTTGTAGATATATGTTTAATTTGAGTTTGTTCTTTTACGTACCAATAGTGGTAGAAGGCATACATTATGGTTGTTTAATTTTATTTCTCACTCCTATGCCACCATTTAGACCTAGAATACATGCATGAACAAAATATTATCTTAGTGAACCACATACCAAATACAATAATGGAAATTCATTTAAAGTATATTAATACTTCAGGATGATAAATTATGCAGCATATGGGTCGCCCTGCAGTGCAACGATTCCATCTGCCTGGAAAGGCAACAGCAACAGCAACCACTATCCAAGACCCCTCCCCACCTGCAAAGGAATATATATATATATATATACTATACTATCATGTAGTTGGCCATAAAATAACTTATTCTGTAGCCACTTTGAGTTACGATAATTACTATGTTAATTTATGAGATTATGGTAACTTCCTCATAAGTGATTTAGTATAACATTATGGTAAGTATCATCTTGAAATATAGTAACCCATATATCGTAAATGTGTTTTGTCATTATCGTAAATTAGTATAAACATTATCGTAAATCATGGTGGCTATAGAATAAGTTATTCTGTGGCCCGCTGCAGAATAGTCTTACCGTGTATATATATATATATATATATATATATATATATATATATATATATATATATATATATAGACACACACACCAGCTCTACAATAGGAGTGAGAAATAAATAAAATAAGTTGACAATAAGACGATACATAGTCAATCGTCAATGGTTTCAGGCATGCTTATTTGGCTCGACAAGCGTGCCGTGTTTGTACTTGGCTATGAAAAAACTTCTGTATCTCAACAAGTTTTCCTCAAATAAAGGTGTGGATTTTCGAGCTAGCTCTAGTATCTTATTAAATTAATAAAATGTGCATTGTATTTTCCAGCTAGCTCTACTATCTTGTTCAACGAACATTATTGAAATACACGTTGCGCATATGACTAATCAAGATGAAGGCAAACAATTTCCCTGTAATTTTCTACGAGATATATATGACATATGTATGTTGTCTATTGTGCTATTTTGTAAGCATACACACCACAAGGAATATATGCGCACAACACAAGGTATATATGCAAGTGATATCGATAGCTTCAAAAAAAGTCATATTGGTTTGCGTTTTTGGATCAGGAACTATTTTTATTCATCTGTACATTTGGGCTATATAGCTGGTCAACACTACACATGTATGCCTTGGAATTCCATGTATCCTTGGAATTTCATTAGCAGGAAGTCTGGCATCGGTCGCCTGAAGAAAGTTTGGCAGCCTGAGATTGCAAAATTCAATACAGATTAAAATTTGTTTCATTTGAATTATTATGTGCTAAATACATTTTGAAAATATTTTAAACCCGAATCATATGATGCCATATAGTTAGTCATCCATTCATGCATGCATGGCGTGTTTGTACCTGGCTATGACGAACCTTCTGTACCTAAACAAGTTTTCCACATATCAAGGTGTGTATTTTCAATAATGAGAGTCTCTGTTTCTCATGTTCTGGATTGTTGACTTGGACTTCAAGTGCTTTACTGGTCCAGGCTTACACAAGTCTTCAAATATTTACCTTGTAAATTGCACTATTTGCTCGGCCGAAGGAAGAACATGTCTATAGCAGGGTACTTTTTGTAAAAAAAATTATCCTAGTCAGCGCCTCCCGAAGGTGTATGGACCTGTGGTGCACCACTTAACAAGTTCAGAGGGTCGGATTTCGATATTGAGAGTTCATGAATCTAAGTGGCACAATGCTAAAAGTTTAAGGGCCCACAGTGTATTTAACTCGTAAAACAATAATTACGAAAGAATAGGGAAATCCTTGTCAATTTTTAGAGACAGGGGAGGAAAGCAGGAAACAATAGATAGAAAACTGATTCCAAAAAGGAATCAGGAAAACGGCCACTTAGCAGAAAATATATGAAAATAAACAAAATCTTCTAAGCCTCAAACATTCAGATCTTCAGGGTATCAAAAGAAGTTGCTGCATTCTACGGAGTAACAAAGTTTTGCATTACCTGTTGGATTATATTGCAACACATATATATTTTTTTAGACCAGAGGCATAAGCCCTGCTTTTACTGAAACTATAGAGAGTGGCTGCTGGGAAAACAGCCTAGCACATCTTAAACTCTCCTCTCTTAAACGATGAACCACAAACTCTAAACTCTCCTCTCTTAAACTGCACCGCCCCAGCTCCCAAAAGGAAACCAGCCACGAATAGTGCTCCTTAGAAAAGAGAAATTACAATTGAGGCCTTTTTGAGTTAAACACTTAACTATATATGCGACCAAAGAAGTTCCATCTCCATTATCTGAAAACAGAAAACCTCTATTGACTTGTCCACCCTTCGTTCTACCGGAACGCCAATAAATCCACGCCCATGCCCCCCAGCTCTACTCATACGCTTCATCGCTCTCACCCACCAGGAGAAAATTGCAGCAGCACATAATTGACAACTACATCCATGGCGTCCACTTCCATGTCCTCGGTTCTCTTCCTCCTCGTCGCAACCTTCGCCGCCAGTGCCAGCGCGGCCACCTTCACCATCAAAAACAACTGCAGCTCCACGGTGTGGCCGGCAGCCATCCCGGTCGGCGGAGGCACGCAGCTAGAGCCAGGACAGACGTGGACCGTCGATGTTCTCGCCGGCACCACCGGCAGGTTCTGGGGCCGCACCGGCTGTTCCTTCGTGGGAGGAAGCGGCCACTGCAACACCGGCGACTGCGCTGGCGCCCTCAACTGCACCGTGTCCGGGCAGCCACCCACGACGCTGGCCGAGTTCAGCATCGGCGGTACCGAGGATTTCTACGACATCTCCGTGATTGACGGCTACAACCTGCCCATGGCCTTCTCCTGCAGCACCGGCGCTGGCCTGGTGTGCACGAGCCCCACCTGCCCGGAGGCGTACCGGTTTCCGGACGACGATTCCAAGACCCCTGGGTGCAGCGGCAACAGCAACTACCAGCTCACCTTCTGTCCATGATGAGGATTGAGGCGGCGGGCAGATGGTGGTCACGTCCAAGGATATTCATGTGGAGTATCTGAGGAACACGAAGGTTCAACCTTGTTATTATTTCTACCCACCATCTTCGTAGGAGTGGAAAAGAAAATATAATAAGTGGATACATAGAAACTTTCTAAATAAATTTGAAAACGTATTTAGGCTTCGTTCGTTAGAAGCCAGGAATGGCCTGGAACTATTCCGGACCCGGAACAGTTCGATAATTTATACTGAGGGCTCGTTCGGTTACTCCGGAATCAGCCCCTGGAACGATTCCCGGCTGGAATGGCTCATAAATTTGTATAAAGTTGATGAACAGGAATAGTTCCGGGCTCCATTCCTGACTAACCGAAGGGGCCCTGAAGAGGGACTAATCCTGGCCTTGAATGGCCGGGAATGCCAAACCGAACGGCGCCTTAGGAAATAAAGTTGTCTATTTTTTAATAAAAAGTGTGCCATGATGAGTTATATAGAAAAAAGTTAGTTAGAACATTTATGGTGCAACAAACGTGGACACCTGCCCGGATTCACAGCACATGTACATATCCATGTATCTCACAAAGTAGGCTACTGTTTAAATTTAGGAGGAATAGTTTTTTTTTTGCCTGAATAATTTTCCACCGATGCCAGCGAAGCCGGGAATGGAGGGTGCAAAGTACCTAGTACATGGGACGACCTTTGAACGTCACAGAAGTACATGATAAGATGGAAAAAGGAGAGGGATTACAACACTTGATAGAAACAAGAACACAACAACATGGTTCAGCTGAGAAAATTGGCTATTTGCCATTGCAAAGAATGGGCTTCGCAAAATTACCATCCAAAAGATTGACTTCGCAAAATTGTCAGCCTAAACATGTATACTTTGTTTTTGTTGCCATAATCCCTATTTAGCTACTTTGTTTCTTTTTTTTTGTTGTCCTCCACGCGAAAAGACATTACTGCCCTTGGCTGCTGGGAGACGTCGGCCGGATCACTGTTTGCACCTTGGCTGCGT